CGCACTAATCCGCCACAGCCACTCACCATCGATGTTGCCTCACTGGTCAATCTGTCTCGGCCACAGCTTCTCCATCTCCACTACCACCTCGCCAACCCCTTGCTTCACCGTATTGCGCCTAGGTAAGGTTGCATTTTGTTTTTTTGCCACCGTGGAACCTCACCGGAGCGCCGCCACACGCTCGGCTCACCATGGCCGCGCCGGTCCACCGCACCTCCTGCTTTTCTCTTCACTGGTCCAGCACCGCACTAAGTCATAGCAGCTCAGGTCAAGTCTAGGTTAGATGCTACCGAGCAAGCGCATGGGAATGCGCCGCTGCTCCCACCGTGGTCGCCATGGCAGGCAAGCTCACCACTGTCGAGCTGGCCTATCACCATCCTCCTCTCTGGCGCGCCTTAGGTAGAGTAGACCTAACCCTAGCTAATGGCATGACGGAGACCTCTCTCTCATTGCCATCTTGTCGGAACGCCTTGAACACCGCCGTGCTCCGTGCGCTGCCACACGGGCATGCGTGCGGCGAGAGCTCGCCGTCACATCACCGGAACCCTAACCACCTCGGTTAGCTCCGCTAGGTTACGACATAGCTGTAGAGCACCTCACCGGAGTAAAAAGGTGGCTGGAGACCACCGATGTACCGCCACGCACCCTCCGCCGTCCACCATTGCCGCCGGCGAGCATGCTCCAGTGAACCTTTGACCAAACTAAGGGTATCCCTAGGTGCGAAAGGTCACGGGGAGTGTAGCGGTGGTGACCTTGCCGCCAGTGGCTTCGCCGTCGACGAGCAGTGGCCGGTCAACCATTGTGCCCTGACTCTATTCGGCTGACAAGTGGGGCCCGTTGACCTCTCGGTCCCACACGTCAGCGACTGTAGTTTTAGGTTTTATTTTATTCTTTTTCCAGAATTTTGTGCTAACTTTGGAAAATCATATCTAGAGCTAGGAATGTCCAAATTGAATGAACCAAAATTTGTTGGATTCCTCATGAAGTGTAGTATTTGATAAAAATATGAAATGCACTGTTTCTAATATTTTTCTAGGAGAATAAAATAGAGCTAGATAAATGCTTTTTGAATGTTTCCAATCTTGTAAAATGTATAACTTGAGCTAGGAAAGTGATAAAAATATGATTCCAATTTTGTTGGTCTTGTATTATCATGTACTACCTGGGAAAAATATTGGTTGCATAGCGATCTTGCTGGAAATAGGAGTTTGCTATTTATCTTAAATAAATGCTAGATTCTTGTGCTATTTTTCATGATAAAAACATGTATCCAATGAGCATGAAATTTATTACACAATGTTCTTGTGCTATGATTAAGCTAAGAAAAATATGAATTCTGTTGTTTAACACTTTTCAATAGGATTTCCTATTTATGCTACTTTAAGCCCTGCTGGCTTGTCATTTTTTTGGAGGATGTTGTATATGTTCCAATGCTATGAAATTTATGCAGTAGCCTACTGGGAATATGTATAAGCTACTGTAATTTTATTAGAATTTATGGTGCACTTTTAATATATTTTCCTTATTTCACCTTAGTATCTAAATAAATTAATAAAGGTATGAAAAGAATTTATTTAGGAATGGCCACTATATTTTTTAGTACTCATTTGATGTATGTTAACTCTTGGTAACATTGGTAGTGCTCAAAGTACCATTCGTGTATGTAGTGAAATAGTATTTTCCCTAAAATTCACTTATAGTGACTTTTCTGGATAGATTCTAGAGTTAAGCAAATTATATGGTGAAGATGATGTTTGCTATGAATCTTATCTATAATAAAGTTGTAGATAACTCACTTATCTAGTTCATGTTAAATTTTCATGACATTTGGCCAAATGATTTATGAGTTATGACTGTTTAAAGTTGGTCTTCAGAACTAGTTGTTCTCTGGAATTTCTAGACCAGATTTGATAAATGTGATTGTTGGACCTTATTAACTTGGGAATCATGCGGAGATGATTAAAGATGAATTGTAGCTAACTTCATAAGCTTTCTAGATTGTCTTATAGCATGTCTTTTGGGTCAGTACAACTCTAGTTATGAATTAAACTAGCAGCTGCTGTCTGTAGCCCTAAATATGTTGAATGCAGTGAATGACTTGATTGCTTTATATGAATGGATGTGATGATTTAGATGCTTAGGCTGATTAAGATAAGTGTTAGTTGCAGGTGCTAGACCTCTTACTAAAGATGAACAATTGTACTTTAGGTTGTTAGAGCTTGGTGAGTGTAGTTCTTGTTTTTAAGAAAAGATATGCACCTACTCAGTAAAGTAAATATTAATCTTGTGTCATCATGTCATTCTTGTGTCCATTGATACATGGTTGTACCTTTCATCATTACCTTCCATCACTTATGCATTCATGACTCTTATGTTGTGCATATGCATATAATAGGTGTTTCGGAGGGAGTCACTCTTTTGGAATTTGAACAAGAACCTCAAGAGGAGCAACAACAAGTTTAGGAGCAGGAAGTGTAGGCGGAAGGAGGAGTCAACGTAGAAGATCTCCCTAAGTGTCCTGACCACCAGCCTTCCTCATTCTTAAAAGGCAAGCCTCGGAGGATTATAAGACTCCTATGTTTTTATAAATATCACTTGCGTCCTTTTTATATTTGATGCATTAGGTTATAAGAGTTGATTGGAACCACTTGCTACATATATTGTCCTTGTCCAAATGAATATATCTTGAATCCTTGGTAGGTCCAGGATTAAATATATGCTTAGCCTTGCTTAGTCCGGTAGATCTCAGGTGATTTCCTGTCACCTGAAAAATATAGGTACATAACTAATCGCGGTTGGCTATAATTGCTATTGTGAAAATAACCATGTGTTGATGAATAAAAAGGAGACCGAGCGGGATTGTGATAGAGAAGCACAAGACATGGAGGTCTTGGTGCCTATCTATCCCCGTCTGTGTCGGTTAAGGACCGATTCGCTGTACGTCCTCATGTCATGTTGAACGCATGCCTAGCACTTAGTTGCCCCGATAAGTCGTTCCGACCGCGAAGCCGAGTAGCTCAATTCAGGCCGGGCCCCAGTAAGTGAAAGTGTGCACACTGGAGGTAGTAAGGATGTGCGGAGAGCCAATGGCATGAGTCCAAGGGTGGGTTTGAGTCCCGAGTTTCCTGGCAGAATGGTAGAATCTCTGAGGGTGCGGCGTTGATCGAACCCGCGAAGTTAGTTCCTAAGTTGTATCAAAGGTGACCCGATGCAACCTCAATGGGGGAAGTATGGGTTTGTGTTAGGAATAATTCTCTAGCTGGGTAGGAATCAATTCGAATCGTCATCTTTCCCGGATAGTGAGAACTTGACTGAGCAGCGACAACATAGAGTAACCTAATGGAAACTTGTTGGTTATGATGATGCTCAAATTATTCTTATAACCGGATATGGTTACTAATGCTTGTTAGCTTAATCAAGTGATTGCTCTAGTACATGTGCTAATCTAGAGATGATTAATTGAATAGGTATTCAAATTGATGCTATAAATACTAAATCTTCAAGTTATGTTACTAAAGCTTTTATGCAAAATGTTGTCAAGCTAACTCCACTAATAAAGCCTTGCATACTGCTTGGTGTCATATTATTTCTGATTTATGACGGGTAAGTCTAGCTAAGTACATTCTCGTACTCAGAGTGTATTCTCTCTTGTTGCAGATGACATGATGTACCATGGGCACTGTAAGAACTGCCTTGATCCTGTCGTGGATGAGGACTAAACCATGGGGGCATGGTACTCCTAAGTTATCTCCTCTGCTTTTGCTGGAATGACCGTAGCACTGGCATGTATTTGAACTACGTGTGATGTTGATGTTAAACTACTTTGCTTCCGCTATTTAAACTTGGTTTGTAATAACTAGGTGAACTCCGATGTATGTGAGATATTTGTGAACTATTTGTGAACTGTGATGTAACATGTGACTGGTTATGTTGAATCATGTACGATTTTGGTTTGTATGTTGGTTTGTTTGAGATCTCTCGTGATTTCACCGGACTACCGGGTTTATATGGGCTCAAGTACGACGGTTTGATCGCTTCAGTGATTGCTATTGTACTTGTGCTCTTATAAATTAGACGGTTTTGCTACACTTACAACATACCTCTGAAACATTTGAAACACTTGAAGAAATAGATACTTGCAACATGCGCTTTCAAGCGCAACATCTACTTGCTGCTTACGAAATGGAGGCTCACCGGTGCGTGGAGTTCACCGGAGGTAGCCGCGCCGTTGCCACCATCGACTCCGCCTACCACGAGGCTGGCAGGGACCCCTTCGTGGGCACTGGTATCCTGCGCTCCATGCAGGACACGTAGCCTCTACAACCGGTGCTGCAATCCCACCACCAGCGGATCTCTCGCCGTGCAGTGGATTTGGTGGAAGTTGCAGCGAGGTAGAGTGGACGGAGAGAGAGGGGAGGGATGCTGCTTACTCATCGCTCTCAGTCGGAGATGGAGCAAAACGGTCGGGGTAGAGAGGAAGCAAGGCGAGCGCTGGTGCAGGCCGCGGTGGAGAGGGAGGCAGCCGGCTGCCACTAGGCGGACGATGAGGCTAGAACTCGAGCGGCGTTCGACGAACAATGAGAATGAAATGGGCGAATGACTAATGTGGGGATTCGGAGTTTTTTTAGAAAGGTGTGGAGATTGGGAGTGGGTGGAGACATGAGGGGCTATTGGGTTGTTCGAGCCTAGCCATATTGCATCCGGAAAATTAATGCCATCCGGACATCCTGCTCGTATCAATTCCGTTTGCAGTACCCCTCCAGCATCAGCATGCATCTCTTGATCATCTCTTGCCTCATCATCATCTGCCCATATGTCTTTGTCATCTGCACTAATCTCCATCGCCACCTCCTCAACATACATATCTACTATCCCACCACCCGTGCTAAGAAACCATGACTTGGCAGGAAGCATCATCTACCAACAACACGAGCCCACTGCTCAGATTCATCCTAGGCTTCAACCAATACATCCTCAAGATACTTGCGGAATTAAAGTGATCAGCTAGGAGCCTCCATCTCAAAAAACGAAAGCTTGTCCTCATCAATCCAAGATTTAGCAATATCTCCACCCACATATAACAACAACCCATCGACGTTGTCAAAAGCCTCACCAAAGTGAAATCTAATCGCAATTTTATCCAGATTATCCATATGGCCAAAGAAATACAAGTTCTCAAATGAATAGAACTGGACGCAAAACTTGTTCCTAATTATTAAAAAAATGCACGCCAGTAATACCTCCTTAAACCATAACACAGGTTCATCCTTCATGCTCAACCAATCCGTTAAGATCACCTCTATGGCGACTCCTAGCCCTAATCAACAGCAGTAGGAAAAAACACAATCCCCCAAATGCAATGCCATTGACACATGTAGAATGTACTATATATTTTAGTACAAATTTTAGAAATCAATGTTAGAGTGCATAGCGGGTATCGGCTATACCGACGAGCCAGCACCCCTCGGGCTTAGGTCCACCAGAGCCCACAACATATAATGCCTTGGGCCTAACTCAACGTAAAAGACTAGTATGATAGGTGAGGGTTACCCTCGGCTTATATGTTGACCAATTTTTAATGTGGGACTAACCTAACAATCTCACTCGTCACACATCAGACCTAATTCTTCACATCACGCAACCCGGTGTGATCTCCAAATGACGTTATCTAGGCCCCGAGTCCGACGCTCAATATCACATACAACCCGTGTGACTTTTGAGATATTAACGGGCTCCCCTGTCACTATGTGGTCCTTGAAAATTTCTAGTTTTTTTTGACCATGTGTTTTGATAGCACTGTTAGAGTGCGTAGCGGAATCCGAGCTGATAAAATGACTAGTTTAGGAAAGTTTAGGCCCTGTTTGGAAGCTGTTTTCCACAAACAACTTTATGGGAAACTGAGCTATTTTAGAAAGACTATTTTACAAAATAGTTTTACATGGTAGACAAAAACATAAAATGACAATAATATCTTTTTTTTAATCTTTTCTTCTATTTTCCCCCTCACGCTCACAGATCTCCGCTTTCCTCGGTACCTTGTCTCCTTCCGTTCTTCGTGATACGGAGATCCCCGCGCGCCCTGCAAGATTCCGCGGCGTCCAAGCGACAGCCGTATCCGCATCCTCGCCCCGCGGTAGAGCCAGCTTGCTAGCCCCGGTGGCCGCGGCGACGCTCGCTGGCCCCGGACAGCCGCGGCGGCGCTCGTGGCTCCGGCGGTCAGCGAGCGCCGGCGCTCGTGGGCTCGTGGCCCCGGCGGCCGCGGCGGCGTCTCGTGCCAGCGCCCGCACCCCGACGGCCCTCGCGCCATCGCTCGCGTCCCGGCCGCGCCTGTGCTCCACGGTGGCGCGTCCCGGCCACGCCCACCGGCGGCATCGTGCCTGCTCGCACGCTGCGTCCAGCGGTGCCCGTGTTCAGCTGTCAACGCGCAGCAGCGCCTGCCATCGGGGCAATACTGTCTTTACACATGGTAGGGCCCACAAAGTGGTGGGTCAATCTAGAATAAGCTATTTTTTAAAGCTTCGTACAAACTTATTCGTTATGAGAGAAGATAAAAAACAACTTTACTCGTGAAACTGTTTTTAAAAATAGTGTTCAAGAAAAAGATAAATAGGGTGTTCTGCTGGTCATGTTATGGATTGTTTCAGCTTATTTCAGCTTATTCTTTTTCACAGAACACTATTAAATTATTCGAAACCATCTAAAATCCACTGTGCGCTGAAAACAACTCACAATTGATCGTGAAGTTATACAGCTCGTATCAGTTCATGAAGTTAACGTGAGCTGTGCCAGGACCTTAGTGTCCTTAATACGATTTTGTAGGATGGGAGTTTGTAAGCCAAACCACACCCACGCACACACGATATGTAGAGCGGCTGAGGGTTATTTAGACTTTTTTTTTTCCATTCTCCTAACGTTGGCCGGAGCCCCCTCCCAGCCCGGTCTCCAGATGGTGGCCACGCGCACGGGGTTCTCCCTTGCTAGTTTGCTTTCGTCTCCGCCTCCGATTCTGCGATGATAACCCACCATCCCTCTCTGCTCCGCCCATCTATCCTCACCCTCCGGGCCGTCGTCCTCGGTCGGCGCCCAACACTGAACGCCTTCCTGTCCACAACCGTCGCCTCCGCTACGCCGCCTCTCCGCTTACGGTGTCTGCGCGCCACCGCCCGTGGAACTTCGCCGGTAACAACCAAATCGAAACCCCCCTCGGGTTCTCTGCTACTCCTTGGGCCATGCTTCGATTCAGTTGTAAATGCCTAGTTGCCTGAAAAAAGTTGTAAATGCCTACTTTGCTCCGCAGGTCAGTGGCGATGGAGGCAAACGCGCGGTGCCGCCTCCCACGCTTGGGGCCGCCCTGCTCGGCTTTGTGCGTAGCAACTTCCTCCCGCTTGGTGAGTTCCCGCTTGTATGCGATCCCAGCTGGTGCTTAATCATCTTGATATCTATGGCCTATGGGCGATTTTGTACTGCTGTTTCTGTATGTAATGCCAATTATGCAATGCTTGTCTTAATTGTGTAGTTGGACTTATGTACTCCACGACCCAAACTAGGCACATTTGACAATGCTTCAATGCATTATTAGCTCCAAATCCAAAATAGCCTTTGCATCTGTGTCATCCTGAAATTCTACTATACAAAGCAGAATCATAGTGGATTAGCGAGAGATGGGTTTGTTTCTCGAGTGCAGACAATTTGGGTGTAAATCAAGTATGATCTGCTTTTAAACAGTTGAAGGTGCTGTGTAGTGAATACTCCTATGTCTATAATTGCTTTCACATTATCGCTATGTATTTGACAAGAGCATGCAAATGTCTCTGGTTTGAACTTTCATGGACTGATTTTTGTCTTTCCCGTTGATAAGCTCTCATCGGTGGGATCATATTGGGTCTTCTAGATCCTACTCTTGGATGCCTTGCTCACAAATACTCCCTGTCAAAGTACAGCACTTTTGGGATATTCGTTATCTCAGGTTCGGTTGCTTAACCTATTCGTGTGAATCCCTGTTCTATTACTTCTGTGTGCTGCTGATAGCTTCCTCTTGGCTGCATAGGACTGACCCTGCACACTAGGGAGCTTGGTGCAGCGTTAGAAGCTTGGCCTGCTGGACTATATGGACTAGTATGATCTTATGTTTATTCTGTGTCTGTCAGACTTGCATGTTCTAGTATCATTCTGTGGCACAACTATAAGTATGTTGGAATAAAGTTCTTACTCCCATTTGATCCAAGGAATAATTCAAGGAAATTCCATGCCATTGATTTTCTGGCATTTATTTCTTACCACGAGTATTGCCTTTCTGGTTGTTTTTGGGATACCAGTTCCCATACTTCTATTGGTCATCAATGGAGCACCCTCAATAAGTTTGCTAATGTCTAATATTATTGTATATAATTGCAGGGATCTATTTTGCTGTTTACACCCTTTCTTGCTCAGTTTATTATGCAAGTTCAGTTCTTCCCTCGTGAATTTATCACTGGTAAATGGTTCAAGCACATGCCTGCTTTTCATGATGGATTTTATGTTTTCATTCCACCATTTTTTGTTGCCATGTGAGTAACTCATACTTTTGTGCTCCTTATAGCTTGTTTTCTTTTGGCATCTTACAGGGTTAGCTATATTTTGCTGCATGCCAACAACACTATCAAGTGGAGTCACACTAACACAGGTACTACTTAATACTTATCCCTATTATCTACCAACATGTAATACCACATATTTTCTCATATAGCTATATTAGCATTACAATCTAATAAAATATTTTTACCACCATGCAGCTTGTTGGCGGTAACTCTGCACTTGCTCTTGCAATGACAGTTGCATCCAATTTACTTGGCATTATCATTGTAAGCAAAATTTTACTGTAATTTTTTGTTTATGGGCAACTGACATAAGTAATTAACTAACCCAATAGAGTATTACAGGTTGAACTTTGTTGTTTATAGTTATGAAGCTTTATGCCAAAGTTCTTGGATGTAAAATGCTGATCAGCTGATGGTAGCAAGATGTTACTTTTCTTGTGTTTCAAGCCGAGTCTGATTGCAATCATGTGGTTCTTTTTTTGTTTTACATGTAAAATGAATATCCAGTTTTCCACTGATAATCTGATATGATAGTTTATGAAATTTGAGTATGACCCACCAGTCCTCAAACATGCAAAAAAACTGAATTATAGACTAAAATATTGTAAATGTTAAATATATTTTCTATAAACTTGGTCATAGTTAGATAAGTTTGACTCAGGACAAAGCCAAAACGACTTCAATTTTGAAACTGGGTGAGTTTTTTTAGTAGTAATTTTTAATAAAGTAATTGCTGGTCAAAGGCTTGTTCTAATGAAATTGTTAGATAAGTTTGACTCAGGACAAAGCTAAATCGACTTAAAATTTGAAACCGGCTGTGTATTTTTTTACTAGTAATTTTTAATAAAGTAATTGCTGGTCAAAGGCTTGCTCTAATGAAATGAATTACACCTTTAGTTTCAAAAGGTGGATGTCTAGATTATGAACGAGCCTTTTTTTCTATGTACAATAATTTATTGAAAGGTGAAAAAACATTATATGCTGAGCAATCTGGTCATTCATCTTTGTGATCATGGAATCAGGTACCTCTTTCTCTTGCAAAATACATTGGCGCTGGTGTTGGGGTTTCCTTGCCTACTGAGCAATTATTCAAAAGTCTGGTCACCAGTCTTCTGATCCCTCTTATTATAGGGAAGGTATGTGGTTATTCATATCTTTGTACTCCACGTCGTATTCAGTTTAATCTTTGGATGTAAAAACAACAGGGCTTATTCTGAGTCTCATGTAACTACCTTTCATGATCAATATAATGTGGTAAGCATGATTTGTTTGTCGGATGTTTAGGAGCACAATTTAGGCGAGGTCTTCATGTATTTTAGTACAATGTGTTATCAGTCATGAATCACCTGACTACAATATGCAAAGGATAATTTGAACTCTTCTAACTTAAGTGTTTATTATGTTTTTCTGTTTATTTTTGAACTTACTCTCTCTGTTTCTTAAACAAGAATAATTGAATTCACCATCTATCCCCATGTTTTCCTTAAAGACTATAGTGCCATCTTGAAATATCTGAAGCTTCCTGGAGACACTTATGATGGTTTGTTCTTTGTCAGGTTGCTCGAGAAACCTCAAAAGGTGTGCAAACTTTAATATGTTCCTGTTTTTGACGGTCACTCCAGGTTATTAATGTTAGTTATCATTCATGCATCTCTTGTTTAGGTATTGCTGATTTTGTTGATGGAAATCGACAAGGCTTTTCAGTTGCAAGTGCTGTTCTCCTCAGCCTAGTATGTCTCTAATTCGAAACATATGCCAGTCGACATGTTCTTTACTTGCTCTTTAGAAAATGTTGCTTGTAGTCACGATAATTCAATAAGCGAAGAAAACTGTTTTTTTTTTTATATAATCAGTAACATCTGGCACCCTTGATTTGTCTTCAGCATGCCATGCTTTTGGGTTCATATATGCAGTGTTTCCAGCCCAATTAGCCAGCCCTTTTGGCGCAGCGAGTACAAGAGGGCAACTGATGCATGCATAAACCTATCCTGCATGAAGTTTATCATTAGTGAGTATTTCGGCTCTTTGTTGATCCAATGATCGAAGGGCAGGCCTGGTGCAGTGGTGAGAGCTGTCTCACTGAGGCCCTGTTTGGTTGAGCTGTGGCTGTGGGAAAAAGCTGTTGTGGGCTGTGAGCTGTGAAAAAGCTGCTGTGGGCTGTGAGCTGTAGAAAAGCTGAAAGCTGTTTGGTTAAACAAGTATAAAATATACCTTTTATCTTTATCTCTCTTGAAACAACTATGGAAGAGCTTTTTATTCCACCAATTTCGAAAAGCAGAAAGCCAAAAGCCAAAAGCAGGGTCAACCCAGCTTTCAAAAATGAACTACGGAAAAGCAGCTGCTTCTGAAAAAGCACCCTCCAAAAACAGCCCCTTTGGTTGGGCTTTTGGCTTTTGGGGCCAAAAGCCAAAGCCAAAAGCCCAACCAAACAGGGCCTGAGTCACCAGGTCGTGGGTTCGAAGCAGCCTCTCCGCAGATTTTGCGGGGGAAAGGCTTGTCTCGGTTTATCCCTTCCCCAGACCCCACTTGTGTGGGAGCCTCCGGCACTGGGTCTGCCCTTTTTTTTTGATCCAATGATCCAATCATATAACAAGAGCACTTCAGAAATCAACTCTCAAGTTCAAATAGAGCATAACTGAGAGCGTTTTGGTGTGGGAGAGATTTTTGGAGTTGCGCTTTAGTTTATGTTGCTTTTGTAGTTTGCATCAATATATTGCACGTCTGCATGCCTTGTGATCTATATAGACTTCAGTTCTAAAACATTTCATTTGACAGGTCCCATGGATTCAAGTAAGTAGATCAAGATCACTGATCTTATCTGTTCAAGGAAAATCCTTTGCTGTTGCCGTTACTATTGGAGTGTATGTTTACCATCTAAGCTTATCACAGTGAGAATGTTTGTAAATCTTGTTATGTGGATGTGGAATCAAATGCTTAAGGGTGGATGAAGATTAATCCAATTTTTTCTTGTTCTCTATCTATGAAAAAGCTCATGATTTTGTTATGTTTTGCCTTGATTACTGCACAAGTATTGTGCTTGAAGCCTTGAACTGCTATTTTTCTCAGTTACCTATCAAACTATTATTGCTGTTTCAACTTAATGAGAATCTTTATGTTCTAAATTTGTCTAAGGAATCAACTTCCACCTAACATTCAGTGTGATGCATGAGTACACAATTAATTTTTTTTTTCAAAACATTCGACTTTACTGGTAGGCACGCTTGCTAAGATGCTGATCCAGATGGCAGTTTGATATATCAAGCGACCTACTGTTATTCAGTGTCATCTGTCATGTTCAAGTAGTGTTAACTGTATGCTTATTCTGTTGTTGCTGTCTTGTTCTGGGTTTCACACTAGATTGTAACACTTGCTACTCCAATTCCACAGCCTTACTAAATAACCATCAGTCAGGATTGAGTCAATACTCCCTGTCTCGATAAAACAGAAAAGAACTAATTGGGACTGCCCTTATTCAATAGTTCTTAACTGATTCCTCGCTTGTCAATGGTGTTGCTTAGTTTTTTCTTTTCTTTGCCTCCAATATAAACTGCAGCCTTGTTGTGTCTTCAGCTACACCTTAATATCTAACATGAGCACATTTCTTTTCACAGGCTTCATCTTGCTCTGCTGGCTTTCAATGCTGCAATGTTGGAGATCTTGTCACGTCTTGAACAAAAAGGGGAGTCAGTCTTTGCAAAGAAAGAGTACGCACGAGCTGTCATTTTGGTGGCTAGTCAGGTCAGTCTTTATCATCACTAAAAGAAATATAAAGCCTGTAAATGATACAAATCAAATTCCTGCTGTTGACCATATGGTGGGCCTATCTGATATTGCATCTAGCCGAGGACCAAGGTGTTGGCAACTGTTACTGTCATGCTTTGGATTGCAGTGTAGTGTGTAGTGTGAGGTGGGTGGTCTAGAGGGGTCTTCTAACATGATCCAAGCTTAATGTGCAAGGCAGACCTTAGTCAACCAGCAAGTCAAAGACAAGTGATTTTTTTACTAGCTAACCATTACCACACATGTTTTCAAAACGGTGGTGACTACTTAGGATGCTTTTCTACAGGGTTTTCATGTTTCCGCTGAATAGGGGGTTTGCAATGAATATTTTACTGTGCTTCTGTCCATTGCTGGCCTAGTTACCGCAAGAATGGCTACCCATCTGTTACTGGATTAGAAGCAGCTTGGGAAACCTTCTTGGAAGGAAGAAGTCTATTTTTGGCCATCGAACTATTGCCTGAGTCTGATTTTGACCATCCAACTCCAAAATCAGATATCTATGACCATCAAACTATTAAAACCAGACAACTTTTGCCATGAATCTGGTTTCAAAGGTGTTTTTTCCTATATATGTTTTTAAAAATAATAAAAATGTGATTAAATATTAAAAAATTCATAACATAGTCATTTTAAATAAAAAATATGAAACCAGTACCAAACTTTTTTCTAAAAGTGTAATATATATATTGATGCTCTACTTAGAGTTATTTGGATCTTGTTCCTGTTTCTAATGTTTTATTGCTCGTAGTCATGACCGTTATTTATTAAATTATCGTTTTGCGCTATATTAGACCAAGAGATCAATGAAAAGGATCTAATGGATTCCGAGTACATGGATCATAAAGGTGACACCAACCTCGCAGATGCCATGCTACCCCACATATAGATCCTATTTAGGCATTGCATAGCTACTGCTTTACTTTATTTTGATTGCATGACTAGGTAATAGGTTTCAAATAAGACGGGGGCTCAAACATCATGCAATCAACTAATCAAGCAAACAACATAAAGTAAATCCGCAAATGATATGACAATTTAAATAAATAACAGTGGTAACTACGAGCAATAAAACAATAGCAACAAGAACAAGTACAAGATCCAAGTAACTCTGAATAGAGCACCAATAGATAGATTGTATTTCTAGAAAGAAATTGGTACCAGTTTTGTTAATTTTCAATTTAAAATGAATCATTTATGAATTTTGAGATTGAACCATATTTTTATTATTTTAGGAAAATACATATATAGGTAAAACCACCTTGAAACATGGTCAAGGGCCAAAGTTGTCCCACTTTTAATAGTTTGATGGTGGTTGTAAAAAAAAATAGTTCGATGGCCAAAAATATCTGTTTGAATCCAATTTGTTATTGAAATTGTTCCAAAACACTAGTAGGTAAAGATGAAGTTGTTATTCTGCTTTCATGGCATGAAAATATTTTAGCTGGCTTTCTGATTCCTGTAGAAAACGTTGCCAGTGTTGGTTGCTGTGGTTGAGCAGCTTGGAGGAGCGTTCGGGGAGTCTGGATTTCTGGTCATCCCTTGTGTTGCGGCACACATTAACCAGGTTCTCATTGCAAGGACATTATTTCTATGTCACTTGCATTCTCTTAGGGGTCATTTCTAATGTCTGTAACACTCTGCAGATCATTATTGATTCTATCATAGTAAATTGGTGGCGCCAGAAGGATCAACAATTTACTTCTGCAAAGTAACTTCAGAATTCAATTTCGGTGTGTAACACAGGGAATCAGTCAGGAGCTCTTAATGTTTATCTCGTGATGCCAAAGCAAAATGAGATCTACGTGTTCAGTTGTTTGGAACGAAAGCAGTCATGTCGAGATTATTTTACACAGAATTGCTTTCGTGCCTGAAGAAACGATATCATGTGTTTCCTCCACATCTTCAGATTTCTTCCTCAATGTTTTTGGATAGTTGAATAAAAAAATGAAAAATATAATTGTACTTGTCATGCAGGAAGTTCAGTAAAAGGAAGAATTGCTGACTGCAAAGCTGATTTTGTGAAGATCATTATACGCTTTAATTTCATAGTATCCTTCAGACTGATCTTCAGTTTTTCTCATCACCCTCTGGGTGGCCATTGAGGGCGTGTTTGCTAACCTGCTCCTGCCCGGCTCGGCCGGCCGGCCTGGCTGTGACCAGCTTCAGCTCGGCTCCCATGGTGCAAGCTCACGTGTTTGTTTCCCGGGACCAAATGAGCCTAGCTAGATAGAGATCGTGTTTGTTTGACTGTGCCAGGAGGTATGCCTACCTGCCTACCTTGCACCCAGGAAATGGTAGCCTTACCACCCATCCTTCCCTGCTCTCTCCTTGTACTCATTTCATCGAACACACATGGGGTCTTCCAGAACAAAGGGAGGAGACGAGGCAGAGCGGCAAGGGTCCGTGGCCTGGGTCGCGGTCGCGGTCGCCGCCGTCGTGGGGGCCATGAGCTCCGACACCTAGGTCCTCACCGCCCGTGCGTGCAGAGCCCTCCGCCGCCCGCGCGTGCAGGGGCCGCCGGCCGCCACCGGCTGCTCGTGCAGGGGCCGCCACCGGCCGCGTGCAGGTCCTCCTCACTGAGCGGTGTCTGCGCTCACGACGCTGCTTTCCATCTGGCCGGTGTGGGCAGCGACGGACGACGTGGACTCAGGCGGGCGACGGCGTGGCCGCGCGGCGGCGTGGGGGAGGAGGAGGTCCGGGGCGGCGCGGGGGAGGAGGTGGTGTGGGAGGAAGGCGTTGGCGGCGCACGAGGCCTCCTGCCGGCTCCCTCGACTGCTCCGGGGGCGGTGGCCGGCGGGATGGGGAGGGAAGTCGCGGCCCGCGGCCGCCGTAGTGGCGGCGGAGCTGGAGGATTCGAGCGGAAGGTGAGGGAAGGAGACGGGCGGTATCCGTATCGGTTCACCGAGGGCACGGAGCGCTGAAAGGAACCGGGCTGCGAAAAAACGAAGGGGGGTTTCGTTTTTCTGGGGCCTGGCCCAACTTGCTTTAAGTTCCGTGCAGCACAGGCTCCGAGACTGGGCCAGCAACACCAAACAAGGGAGTTGCAGCCCAGGAGCGCAGCCGGGCCGCTGGGCCACCATACCAAACACCCGCTGAGGCCCACTCCATGGCACTAACTTTTTCTTTATGTGGATGCTAATTAATAAACCTTCCAAACTATAATGGATTCTGGGAGCCATGGCAACAACAGCTGGCCTGTACAGAAGCAATACTATTATTGTGTTTAGGAGGTGACTGGAGCAGATAACTGTGGGATGGTACTCCCTCTTCTAGCCACAATTATGTTGCAATCTAACCTCCTATTAACTATCACTTTCTTGTTCAGATTATCCAGCATATCCATTTCATTTCAGAGTGCAGTCTTCTGTGGTGTTGTGATCATAGCAGAATTCTGATCCTACTCAACCTGTACAAAGCTCGTGACCATTGAGGTTTTTTTTTATTTTTAACACTTTTTTTAAACTAATTTTAAATTGAACGTTATTTTACTTTTTCCTCAAAACTAACACTTTTGCCCGCGCCTATTTCCCTGACGCGGCGAAACGGCTGTGCCGCGCCATGCATGGTGGCGCGGCGAGAGGGATGACGTGGCGACGACCGGGGCGCTGACCAGTGACGTGGCAGGGTCTGCCGCGCCATAGGCCACAGCGCGGCACTAACGCGCCAAGGCCCACGGCGCGGCAGGACCTGGACGCAGACAGAAGCTGACCAGCCTCAATTGCAATTGAACGGGAGCTGCTGTCGGTGCTGTAAACAACTACAAGTGTTGTCGCGACGCATTGAAACGAATATGAAGCAAATAAATAAAGTCCGTGCGCAAGTTAACAAGTTGCCACATAACATTTTCATTGGTTCATGGGTCTGCAAGTTTCCGACGATAATATTCGTTCGACATAACCAACTAAGTCCCAAGAGTGTAAGGATCCCTCGGACGTCTCTGTCTCTTCGGATTTGTAGGCAACACATTGGGAGTGTAGCCAACGTCGGTGTGGTCGTGTTGCTGGTGGGTACAGCTCGTACCCTGCAAGTATATGATATGCACGATTGCTTATAATCTTTATGATTGTTAGTTCATGGAGCCTACGTATTTAAAGACACTACCTTTGTTACTACCTGTGAGGCTCCTTGGGTACCAAGCGGAGCACTACCTAGCTGAGACATGCCAATCTCGTTCTGCTGCCAAGGGTCCCACTGGTGGTGTTGTATGCGGAAGCCCGGGGGGTCGTCGTCGTCATCGTCATCCTCGTTTGCAAGGTCCTTCCCAGCGCTATAATGTGGTGGTGTACGCACAGCGGAAGCGACACCTGTCACCGGCTGAGAAGAGTCGGCTGGTGTCCTCAAAGAGCCAGAAGACGTGGCACCCGACCGCGCCTGGTAATCGGGTTCCACCCAAGGAGTGTCCATGCAGCTGAACTTTTGAGCTAGCTTCCTGCAGCTCCGCTTCACCTTCTGCATGAATAGACGTTAAAGTTAGTGCATTTTCCAAACGCATATATACTAAAAAATATTTTCAGAATGGACAAGTTTATGTTTACCTCCACAAAAGCCTCGAGAACGCCTGGCCCCTGCCCTCTAGACTCGTGAAGCCAAAACACTGCTTCGTTGGACAGCTTTGACAATTGTATCGCCTGGGTACAGAAACACGGTTGGACAGTTTTAGTGCACATACTTAATACCAAATAGATAACAAATTGTACCATTCGAGTATCTTACCACGTATCTTTGAAGCGGGGCTCTCTGTAGTTGTGTGTCGTCCATAGTGGCAATGTCTTACACATCTTCGATCACATCTTCCTCGTCGTCCTCGTCAATTGCCTCCTTAGTGTACGGGGGCTTGATATGTGTTCTCGTAGACATGTGAAGCTACCACAGGTACTCGTTGAAGGTGTGCTAGTCGTGTGGGGGACCCGCATCGACCGGCTGCCGGTCCCTGGTCTGCCACAACTGGATGTACGCGTTGTGTGTCACACGCCAATGCTTGGTCTTGTACCTCTTCCTGCGGTCATACCTGCAACAAAACGATTGTTAGTTGTACCATACGCACATCTGAATTGTAGTTTTGTTATTAATCGATAACGTACCCGTGCAATTCTTGGTTGGTGGAGTAAAGCGGTGGTGGGTAGCCTGTCATTCTTCCAAACTGCCTGCAAACCCTGATGGGCAAGTGAATCTCGACCACGTGGAAGAAAATAAGAGGGACGCTGCTGTGATACTCGTCTGACTCATCCCTAGTGACATGACTCAGATAGTCCTAGAGCTCCGGAGCATCCTAAGGACACCAATGCACTTGAACATTTTGTAATTGAGTTAGGTTATGATATAGTGTACATCGAACAAGACACATGTATGATAGTAAAGAGAGCGTAACTTGGTGCTGTGTCAGGACGTCGTGACAGTCCGTGTACTCCCTGTACTTGCGCCTCGCATTCCCTCTAACTAACTCTGCTTGCGTCCAGATATACAGAGCTGTAGGTAGTGTATCCTGTCCGTTCCAATGCTGCATTGAACACGATAATCAATTAGCCATGAATAATTTCATCATATGTAACTGCCTCGAAGAATATAGTGAACCGAAGTACTTACAGGGAAACCAGTAACAAGGGGCCTCCCAACAGACCATTGTTTCCAACACCAAACCTAGAGTAGGTAGGAGCAACCCCCAAGATTCGTATACCCTGAGGTGCGACGGCAGGCAACGCATAGCTGTCGATACGTCCATGCCAGGACTGCGCTGCCCTAGCTGTGTGCCGCTATGTTATCCCACGGCTGGCGTAGTATGTCAAGAAAGATTCAGCTGATGGTGTTGCCCAAGGCATCTGGGAATAGGAAAGCACGAAGGAAGTGCTAGAGCGACACTCTAGCGAACCTATCGATCTGAGCCTCATCAGCCTGTGGGTCCAAGTAATCAAAGCGCTCTGTGATCCACGATGACGAAACACCGGAACTTTTCCTAAAATTCACCAAAGAAAATGAGACCCGATGGTTGTAGGAAAGCAATACAAGTATTAAATAGGCTTGAATTGCTCACTTATTTATCTTGGAAACCTCGTCGTCCGGTGGAAGAAAGCCAGTGAACTAAGCCACCAGCTTCCTCCAGTGATCGTTGTCAACTATACCTGTCACTGGAAGTCCCCCCAACCGAAGGCCGAAGATAGCATTCACGTCCTGCATGGTCAAGGTCATCTCACCGCAAGATAGGTGGAACGTGTGGGTCTTAGGCCTCCACATGTTATAAGAATAGAATGACTGTTAGTTACCTCAAATTTGTTATAAGAATGTTTACGTACAATGAAGGCACTCGCACCTGTTTACAGCTACAGTAAGTAGTGCTGAGTCAAGGGACGGAAGATCGTAGTTGACAACACGAACAAGCTCGAGGAAGCCGGCACACCGTATGTACGGCGCGTAATGCTCGTCCCACTGGTGCGCCCTGGTGTGCGTGCGGGGCCTCAATGGACGCAAGGGCACCTCTGCGTCGGTGTCAGTCAAGAAGTGTGCTCGGTGCGGGTCGTCGTACTCCACCTCAAGAAGGAGATATAACCGGTGCTGCGTGGGAGGGGTCATCCTGTTACAAATTGATAAACAAAGGGTTAGAGTATTCAAATTAACAATATTCAAATTAACATTATGTAGCATTGCAAAATTTGAACTACTTGTTATGCAATACGAACACAGTATGAAAGCACATGTATATATTCAAAGTAACATTAAC